AGTATGGCCGTTCTAATACTCCCTCTGTTCCTGGGTTTCAACCTGCCCCTGGGGTGGAAACTGGGGATGTCAGGTGGAAAGGGGAGCTTTCTGAGCTCCCTCACCTTTCCCCTCCGTCCAACATTCACTGCAAGGGTTAACGGATCTGTGGACCTGCACAAGACATGGGGGGGTGGGGCGCGTGCTGGTACCCCCACCCTCAAGCCTACTTGGCTGCCGGCCAGACGAAACCCCTTGCACTCAGACACTCACTGCAGGCAGGGGCGTGGGAGAGAGCACCACAGGCCGGCCAGCAGCCCCTTGGCAGACACAAGATGTGGCACGTTGTGGGCGCTTCCCAACTGAGCAGGCATTCACGTGACTCACCATCCTGGCCTCAGCCTCCCCACTCAGTCCTACTCGTCACCTTTCGGCACTCCAGCACCTGGTTGAAATATCTATGTCTGCAACCTGGCACTGCCGGATCTGGTGGCCCTGCGCCTGATGGCACGTCCAGGGGAAGAATCAGCCCGGTGCCCTCACGGCTCTGAAGCCTGCTTCCCACCCACCTTGTGCTCTCCCTGCATCATGCACCCAAGGGCCACTTTTGCAGGCCTGAGCAGGCTTGGGGTGTTTGTAAACAGCAGGGTGGGGAGGTGGCCTCCAGGGCTCTGACTCAGGCGCAGGTTGTGCAAGCCAGGCAGGAAGAACAGGGCAGGCACTCCCACCTTGGACCTGGGTGGGAGGCGGCGGCCACCTGGCTGGGGGTGGGGAACAGTGCCCCTCTCACTTCTCTGCTTTGGGGGCTGCTCTTCAGGCTGCTGTTTGGGATGCTGTACCCAGCTTATGCTTCCTACAAGGCTGTGAAGACCAAGAACATTCGTGAATATGTGAGTGTGGGGGTGGGCAGGAGGACTCAGCTCAGGCGGGGGGTGTGGTAGGATTTGGTGAGGTGTGTGGGGTCCAAGCTGGCCTCCCTCTTTTTCAGGGGTATGATCTGGTGGTATATCCTGAAGCAGCATGGGCCTGGATGGAGGGTGGGCTGTTGGGGTTCTTTGTAAGATCTTGTGGGTGAAGCTGATTGAGGGTGGGTACAGGAATGAGTGGCAGTTTCTCAGAGGCAATTCTGTAAGGCCAGCCAAGTGCCAGGGGAATGCAGTGGGAAGGGCTTTCTGGAATCTCTGGACTGGGTCAGCCTGGGACAGGGGAGTTGGTACTGCCGGTTCAGCTTCTGGCTTCTGACCTCTCCCCCTGCCCCACGCTATCCAGGTCCGATGGATGATGTATTGGATCGTCTTTGCACTCTTCATGGCGGTGGAGACCTTCACGGATGTCTTTATTTCCTGGTACGGGCACCGGGGCTCTGTGGGCTGCGGGGAGGGGCTGGCTGTCCCTGGCCTGGCTCCCCGGTGGACCTTGCCCCTCTGCCCACACAGGTTCCCTTTCTACTACGAGATCAAGATGGCGTTTGTGCTGTGGCTGCTTTCTCCCTACACCAGGGGGGCCAGCATGCTTTACCGAAAGTTTGTCCACCCATCCTTGTCTCGCCATGAGAAGGTACCCCAGGGGGAGGCAGGGTGGGCAGCGTAGGGGTGGGTGCGAGGGAAGGAGCCCTGGATTTGGGGCTTGAGACACTGGGGGACATCTGGGCTCTAATCCCAGTCCTGCTGCTGTTGAACTGTGGGACCTTGACAGAGCCTTGTCTTCTTCCTCGTCTGGACTAATCAGATGGGTGCACAGGTGAATGATCTTTGGAGGGTGTAAAACACCGGCTGGAAGCTGGTTTGGGGATGGTGTGGGGAGCCTGGAGCGTGGTGGATTATTGAGGTGGAGGCGTGGGTGAGTGGGTGGGCAGCCCTTTGCTCTGTGGATGGGGTGGACCAGGAGGCATGACTCCCAGTGGTTTCTCTGGGTCCGTACAGGAGTGACCCGGGCTGTCTGCCTGAGCTTTCCTCCCTGATGTCGTCTGCAGGAAATCGACACCTACATTGTGCAAGCCAAGGAGCGCAGCTACGAGACGGTGCTCAGCTTTGGGAAGCGGGGCCTCAACATTGCTGCCTCCGCTGCTGTGCAGGCTGCCGCTAAGGTGCCCTGGGCCTCAGCCTTCCAACAGCCCACCCCACCCCCGGGGCCCTTTGGGCAGGTCCAGCTCTCAGTCAGGGAGCCAAGGGATAGCAGCTGTCCATCCCGGGGGAGCCGGGGTAAGAGGTGACAGGTGGGGGAGTTGGTGGGAGCATGGAGCTGAAGTTCAGACTTGCCTGGCTCTGACACTGACCATGAGCCGCTGCTCCTTGTCTCTGGGCCCAAGCTTGCTGTTGGCGCCCCAGGGTGCAGGGCTAGAAGGGTTGCCGTGTTGCCTTTGGGCCTGTGCCCCAGGCATTGCTCGCAGGTCAGCCTTGATCTCCCTGGGCCGCTCCCCTGCCTGAGGCCCCTTCTGCCCAAAGCCCTGCCCCCTCCGT